CCTTGCAGTCCAGTAGGGCAAGATGATTAGCTCTGCTGTGTTGTGAATAGAAAAAATGTGTTAGCTGGGCGTGGTGGCGCACAACTATAATCCCAGCATTTGTGAAGCTGAGGCAGAAGAATAACTGTGAGTTCGGGACCAGCCTGGGATACATACAGAATTCCAGGTCTCAAAAAAAAAAAAAAAAAAAAGTAAAAAGGGCTTGGAGATAAATCCTTCAGAACTCTGTCCCTCTAGCTTAGCAATTACTAATAGTCAATATGGCTGCAGCAGCCTTGGCATCTATTTCAGGAAAACCTGGTTTCCAGAACTAGCTGCCAAAGGCAGAAGGTGCTGAAAGACCAAAGAAAAAGGTGGATAAATCCAGGATTGCAGAGTGCAATGTATTATTGAATTAAGGACAGAAGTGTGCCTTAGATGGCAGCAAAACAGTAGGATCCCTGGAATCCAAGGTAAGAGGAAAGGGTTTATATTCTAAACTAGACAAAGTGGGCTGTGGCCCACTGGAATGCACCTAGGCTTCTCAAAACACTGTTAACAGTTAAGAAACAATATAGGCATCAGTCTCAGGCACAAAACACTTGGCTGCCTACCTTAACAACTTTATCCCATGTCGTGTTTATAATACATGCCAGGGTCACCAAGTAAGCCAAATGACAATTACAACAACAATGGCTATAATCATGCAAGCAAGATCCTGAGTTACTATACTCAGGATTAGCCTACAGTAGATTAATAATGTAAATGAGAAATAAATCTCTTTACCAGAGATTTTAGGGTTATAAATACAAACTCAAACTCCAATTCAGGAGAGTCTTGTCTTTCACTATCATATGAATTTCAAAATTGACTTTTCTCAACTTCTAGAAAAAAAAAATTATCAGAATATACATTGAAGCTAGGTGTGTTGGTGCATGCCTATAATCCCAGCACTTGAGAGGCTGATGCAGAAGGGTCGTCAGAGTTCAAGGCCAGCCTGAACTATATTGCAAGACCCTGTTTCAAAAAAAGTACACATGGGCCAGGGATTTAGCTCAGTGGTGCCATCGCTGACCTCACAAGCACAAGGTCCTGAGTTCGATCCCCAGTACCAAGAAGAAAAAGGTGCTTTGGAAAACATATGGAATATTGGAAAACAGTTGGCATTATCTGAAAAAGCTGAAGATATAAATGTCCTACAATCTAGCAATCTCAGTCCTAGTATATATAAAAGCCATGTGTGTAAATATATATATATAAATGTACATGAATATTTTTAGCAATATTATTCAAAAAACTAGAAACAATTCAAATGACCAAAGCATTAGAATGAATAAACAGTGATTCATTTACACAAATACTATATAACAATGAAAACAAATTAGACCTATATCCAATGGCATATATTTATAAACGTATTGCTGAACTAAAGAAAACACAAAAGGGCTGGGGATTTAGCTCAGTGGCACTACACCTGCCTTGCAAGTACTAGGTCCTAACTCTGATCCCTGGTACTGAAAAAAACAAACAAAAAAAACCACCAAAAAGATTTTGAGCAGAACGATTCCATTTACAATGAAGTTTCAAAAACAAGTTTTTGTTTTGTTTGTACTAGGGATCAGACCCAGGGCCTTTGCACTGAGCCACATCCCTAGTACTTTTTCTTTCATATTATGAGATAGTCTCACTAAATTGCCCAGATTGGCTTCAAATTTACAATCCTCCTGTTTCAGCCTCCCAGAGTGCAGAATTACAAGTGTATGCCACCACACCCAGCTTATTCTGGTTTTTGGTTTGTTTATAATGGCGTCTTGCTATATTACCCAGGCTGGTCATGAATTCCTGGGGTCCAACAATCCTGCCTCAGCCTCCTGAGTAGCTGGGTCTACATACAAACACCATAGCACCCAGCTCTTTGAGATGTTTTTGTTTGGGGTTTCTTGTTTTTGGTGGATCAAATACAGGAGCTGAGGCATGCTGGGAAAATGCTCTCCCTCTGGGTCACTTTTCTATCAATGGGATTTTTTTAAATAGCCAAACATCTCATCTGTAAATATGATAACTTTATTCCTTCCTTTGTAAACAATGTGTCTTTTTCTGTTTTTCTTATTACACCGACAAGAACCTGGTTCGCTTATTAATTAGGTCCACACTCTGTAAAAATATTTTTAGTTTTTAATTTTTTAATTTTTTGTTTTATTTTTGAGACAGGGTCTCCCTATATAGCCCAGGCTGGCCTTGAACTCACAGTGATCCTCCTGCATCAGCCTTCCAAGTTCTGGGACTAAAAATATTTTTAAAGTAAGAAACAAAAAGATATCCCACAGTAGAACCCAAATAGAACCCTGAAGGTCCCTCCCAAGTTTATTCCTTCATGAACTTAAGTCATTCCTTCTTTTCTCTCAAAAGAATGAAGCCCTCCATTCTCAATGGAAGAATATTTATTGAAAATTTTGGTTTTTCTAATGATTTAAATTTCTCAGCTAATAGCACCAAGTTCAGCGAATCCAGGATTTCAAATTAATCAGGGCTGGGGATTTAGCTCAGTGGTTCTGCCACCTGCCTCGCAAGTGCAAGGACCAGAGTTCTATCCCCAGTACAAAAAACAAAAACAAAAAAATTAAGCCACCTGCATATTTATAATTTCCAAATTCAGTGTACAATTATGAAAAGAATATAAACCAACTATCACCCAATTATTTTATATTTATATAGGACTGAAGGCTTGAGAAATATTTGTGGGAGACAGGAAACAAATCTTTAATATATTTCCAAAATAACAAAAGAAGCAGAGAAGGAAAATAAATTCTCTTGGTTATATTAGGCAGTGATCTAGAAAGTAACAGAATTCTATCACCTCCCCTAGAGTTATGAAACCCAAAGTAAGCCTGAACCCTCTAAGCCTATTTACCTATCCATTTCAAGGAATTACTCTTCCCAAGGGTCTCAAGATATTTCCTCAGCCCAGTTTGAAAAATGACTTCCCTTCTGATTTGGATATCTCACGGTGTGTCCCATAGAGTCTGATGATTTTTTATCTCTCTGGCTTACATGACACTGATTTATGTTAAAGTAATAATTTGTCTCTCTGGAAAATGAAACCTAATATGGCAGCCAGCTCCTGAATCAATGACAAGTACAGTATAGCACAATCGGACTAGTCAAACATATATCAGAGATCTTGTAAGTTCTATTATTCCATCCCGATATAGATGAGAGTTTGCAGTTTCAGGAGATTCTTCTACCAGGGATCTCTCCAGGATTAATATCTCCCTATCAAGTACTGTACCTTGATAGCATGGTTTTAATGTCACAAATCAGATTTCCCTTGGACTTGCTGACCAAGAGACAGCTATATTTATCTAAAATTAGATAATACCAATGTGGCATTCAGAAAATCAGGTCAAATGCTCTTTTAGATAAATATCTCTCTAAATGGGCATAGTGAGAAATGTTGCAATCAACTTATAAAAGATTCAGTTTATCAAAATTCATATTTAAACTCCCCAATCACCAGTAATTTATATTGAGTTTTCCTATAAGTTACAATAGGCCAAAAAAAGGGTGGAAAAAAGATGTTTGTGATCCAGGTGGCCAAAGGTTCAGAAGACTGAACTTTCTAAAGTCTTATGAGAAACTTAACACTCCGAAGTGACACTGGTCAAAAAAATATTTTTGAGTTACTAGGTAACTCTCCCATTTTTCTAGTCACAATTCCTTCTTTAAGATATAAAAGAAATTGGAGCTGGGCATGGTGGTGCACGTCTGTAATCCCAGCATTTGGAAGGCTGAGACAGGAGGACTGCTCTGAGTTCAAAACCAGACTCGGCTACATAGTGAGTTCCAGGTTAGTTTCAACTACATAGTGACATCCTGTCTCAAAAAAAAAAAAAGAAAAAGGGGCCAGGGATTTAGATCAGTGGTTCAGTGGCCTGCCTTGCAAGCACAAGGACCCGAGTTCAATCCCCAGTACCAAAAAAAAAGATATAAAAGAAATTAAGTCAAATATATAATAAACTCTTCCAAGCATCTCTATGACAAACCAAGAATTCAAACTCCAGGAGACTAAAATATTACTCTGGCCCACTCAGACTCATTTGGATGACACAATTTCACCCAAAAACAAGTAATCTGCTGCATATGTGGACCAAGAAAACATATGGCAGCTAAATGTTGGCAAAAGATGTGGCCCTTGGGCCGAGGATTTAGCTCAGTGGTTCTGATGCCTGACTCACAAGCGCAAGGTCCCAAATTCAACCCCCCAGTACCAAAACAAAAATGATGTGGTCCTTTATACAGTGGTTTTCTTTATTAAATTTTTATTTTAAAAATTTTTTGTCAAAATCTCTAATTTTGTCTTTAAACAAATACCCAGTTTCATTTTATTTAGAAATAAAAAACATGGAACCAGACAATATGTGAAATAAAAAACTGGTGCAACAAATCTATTAAATGTGGTAATGGTAAACATTAGGAAATATGAAAGTTTTAAGATTTCATTTTAACAAACAATAGTTAATTCCATTTAAAACATTTATTCTTAGGCTGGGGATTTGTTTCAGTGGTTCTGCCACCTGCCTTGCAAGAGCAAGGACCAGAGTTGGATCCCCAGTACAAAAAAAATTATTTTTACATGAAGATTTAGAATTAGCTTTTCAAGTAGAAGTATACTTGAATAAATCCTATCACATCAAATAGAGATGTATGCCTAAAAGGGGTTCAAGGGCCAGGGATTTAGCTTAGTGGTGCCAATGCCTTCCTCACAAGAACAAGGTCCCGAGTTCGATCCCTGGTACCAAAAATAAAAATAAAAGGGATTCAAAAGAGAAAGACTGTCCAAGCTATGTGGTAAAACTTTGAGGCAAACAAAACTAATCACCCTTATTTTTACTCTAAACCACAGGCAGCTAATTCAGTAACAAATTCTTTAGCATAATCCTAACTAACCACCACCACCCCTCCAACCAATATCAATCTTTGGGCAACCCAAAATTAGTGGGAAAAAACAAGTAAGTACTTACCTTGAGTGCACAAAAGATGCAGGAATCTCCCATGCATTTGTGAGTTGTGAGCTGCCTAAAGCTACGTCGGAAGATGTCCAAGTGCCACAAAACCTGACAAAAAAGGAAAAATATTTCAATGCTCTATTAAAAGCCATCATTTAATTTTAAATTTAATTAAACATAGGTAATGATTGCAGACGCAATCTTATTATGCCTAAGAAAAAAAGCTCATTCTAGTAAATTAAAACAAATAAAGGTGAGGTATCTAACAAGAGTGATAAATGAGCATATTCTGAAGAAAACATTGATTTGTTTTGCTTTTGTTTTCTTCAGATCAGTTCTCATTATGTAGCCCAGGTTGACCTCAAATTTGAAATGTACCCTAGACATGCCACAAACTTGTTATCCACCTGCCTCAGCCTCTTGAGCGCTGAGATTATAGACATGTGCCAACACACCTGGCAAACACATTAATGTGAACATAATGTGAAGGTCTCTTAGAAAAAATATGGTATGCCATATATCAAATGTGATCCCGAAAAAGAAATTCATGGGTTAAAAGCTGCAGAATGCCGGGCATGGTGGTGCAAGCCTGTAATCCCAACATTTGGGAGGCTGAGGAAGAAGGATGGCAGTGAGTTCGAGGCCAACCTGGGCTCAAAGCAAAACAAGCTGCAGAATAATGATTTATTTTAATGGTATATATAAGAAAACCAAGAATATTTTAAAACTTATATATTAGAATCTTGAAGTATACTGTGGAATTTTGTCTTCATTAGAATTAGGATGGGGGTGGTATTTGTTTGTTGTTTTGAAACAAGGTCTTACTGTGTAGCCCAAGCTGGCCTCGAACTCACTGCATTACTCCTGCCTCAGCCTCCTCAATGCTGGGATTGCAGGCATGTGCCACCACACCTGGCTCTAGAATTAGGATTTTTAAACTCTGAGAGAGATATGACCACCTCAAGTTAATAGAATAAAAAATAAATGATATCAAAAGTGATGATCATTTTCATAGCACATGCCCTTGATATGATATGACATGATTGATAAGAATGACCCTTTACCTTTGTGGCCTTCCTCCTCAAAATCCGTAAACATCATCTAAACATGACATCATCATCATCAGACAAATTTCTTTTTCTTTTTCTTTTTTTTTTTTTTGAGACAGGAACTTACTATGTAGTTCAGACTGACCTGAAACACACTATGCAGCCCAGGCAGGTCTCGAACTCACAGTGATCCTCCTGTCTCAGCCTCTCAAGTACTGGGATTACAGGCATGCATGACCACGCCCAGCTCAGACAAATTTCAATACAAGGCAACCCACAAAATAATAACTAACCAATACTACTCAAAACTGTCAATGTCATCAAAAACAAGGAAATTCTCACAAATTATCATAGACGAAAGGAGCCTAAGGAGATATGACAAGTAAATGTAAATGAGGTATTCTAGGAGGAATCCTAAAGCAGAAAATGTTATATTAAAAACTAAGAGGGCCAGGGATTTAACTTGGTGCCACTGCCTGGTTCGATCCCTGGTACCAAAACATAAAACATCTAAGGATATGCTAGGGATTTAGCTCAGTGGCACTGTGCCTGCCTGGCAAGCACAAGGTCCTGAGTTCGATCCCAGGCACCAGGAGAAAAAAAAACAAAAACAAAAAAATAAGGGTATCAACCAGGAGGGTTGGCAGACTCCTATAATCCTAGCACTCAGAAGGATGAGGCAGAAGGATTGCTGGGAGTTCAAGACCAGCTTGGGCTACACAGTGACTTCAAGGCCAGCCTGAACTACATAGCAAGACCCTGTCTCAATCAGTCAATCAATCAATAAAAATAAAAACTGAGGAAATCTGTGTAGCACACCTATCATCCCAGCTACTTAAGAGGCTGAGGCAGGAAGATCACAAATTCAAGGCCAGACTGGGCAACTTGGTAAGATTCCCTTAGGAAGGGAGGGATAAAAATAATTAAAGATATCTAAATACACTGTGAACTTTAGTTAAAAATAAATGATACAATATACATCATAATGCTTCAGGAATTTCTCCTTGCTAAGAGAACATTTAATGGCATAATCCATGAAAAAGTACAACCTCTGGAGCCCCAGAGCTTCTCTTCTTATGTATGTATATCAAGATATATATTTTAAAAGTTCTGTGACACAGACTATGCTCCCAAGTAAATAACAAATGTAACAGGTTCAACACATCTGTGGTAAATATAGCTGTCATTTCAAAAGTTAGAATATCATCTCATACATCAGGGGTGGTGGAGCACACCTGTAATTCTAGTCCAAAAGGCTGAAGCAGAAGGGCTGCCATGAGTTCAAGGGCAGCCTGGGCTACATAGTGAGTTCAAGGATAGCTTGACATGCATTGATAGACTCGCTAAAAAAAAAAATACATAAATAAAAGAATATTATCTCATCATGATAATTATTTTCAACTAATAACATGATTGTAATAGGCACTTGAAAACCATCATTTCAATCTTTATGGATATAGAATATGTATGTGTGTACATACAGTACATGTTATATGGCACTGGACATTGGAGTGGAAAGTAATAAACACTGTTTCAATTGACAATATAAATAGACTATATAGAAAGGAACAGAATTTAAAACAAAAGACTATTAGGGCTGGAGATTTAGCTCAGTGGTTCTGCCACCTGCCTCACAAGCACATGGTCCCGAGTTTGATCCCCAGGAACAAAAAAAAAAAAAGAGACTACTTCCAAGAAGGACGTAAACAAACACATTTATGTCGATGTTTTATTTTGTCTACTTCTAAATTACAAAAAGTATTATCAGTATATAAAATTACTCAAAAAATCTTTATGTGACCAGGTGTGGTGATGCATACCTGTAATCCCAGCACTTGGGAAGCTGAGGCAGAAGGATCACTTCAAATTTGAGGCCAGCCTGGGCTACATAGTAAGTTCAAGGTCAGCCTGAACTACACAGCAAGACCATGTCTTAAAAAAAAAAAAAAAAAAAGCCAGGTGTGGTGGCACACACCTGTAATCCCAGAACTCAGGAAGGCTGAGGCAGGAGGATCACTGTGGGTTCGGGATCTGCCTAAACTATATAGTAAGTTCCAGGTCAGTCTCAATTACATAGTGAGACACTACCTCAAAAAACCAAAAAAACAAAACAAAACAAAAAAACCTTTTATCATCTGTGAGAAAAAAAAATCTAACCAACCTTACCTAACTGCATGAAATTTGAGATAGTAATTAGGGAAAATACTTGAACTCTTTCTACATGTTTGACAGCACAGAATTTCTTTTTAACATTTTCAAATAAAAAACTTGAGAGACTATAAAACTTTTATTACATAGATAAACTTGGTA